ATTATCCTAAGCATGGTTTCCCATAGTAAGCTGAGAAGAAACTAGATGACACCGGAAAAGGGGGTCCCAAAGCGAAATGGATGTGATCAACTGGCACCCTGTTAGGTATCCATTCCTACCTCCCAGCTGAACTGAAGGTGTTGGAAAGATAAAAATGGCTCCCTTGGAAATTAGGTTCAACCAGTTTGATGCCTTCTTGCAGAATCTAGAAGGTGGTACAGAGGTGGAAGCCACCTTCCTCCTGCTGTTTCTGTGATCTGGCAAAGCCTCAGAAACGTGAGCTCCAACGGCAGGACTAAGGATTCCAGTGTCTAGTCACTGCTCTCAGTTTTCTAGAGGCAACCAAGGCAGCTACAGCGGCTGAGTTCAGCCTAGTTTCTGGCCATCTGGTTGGTGAGCGCTGAGAAGTGGGAGGCAGAAGACGGAGATGTGGTAGTGGTGCCAGACACTGAGCATAGCAATGATCTTTGTGCTCCCCAAGCTCCTCCAACGCTTTGTAAGCACCACATTCCCCGTATAAAATTCCATTGTGCTTAAAATACCTAGAATAGATTCTATTTTCTCCTCTAATGAACAGCATTTAACAATGCTAAACCAGTTTCTTTGATGTGAACGCATTTAGGAAACTTTATAATTATTTTGGAGCTTCAAGATTTAATGGCTGCCCTGATGGGTTTTGGACTCACATGGGGCCAGCCTGTGGCCCCTTTCTTTTGGTCAATTTCTCCCTTTTTGAATGGAAGTATTTACCCAATCTCATTGTTTCTTGGAAGTAACTAACTTGTTTTTTACTTTACAGGCTCCTAGATGGAAGGGACTTGCCTTGTCTTAGATGGGACTTGGGACTCTGAACTTGTGAGTTAATGCTGGAATAAGTTAAGACTTTGGGGGACTGTTGGGAAGTCATGATTATATTTTGAAATGTGAGAGGGACATGAGATTTGGGAGGGACCAAGGGCAGAATGATATGATTCGGATCTGTATTTCTGCCCAAATCTCATGTTAAATTGTAATCCCCAGTATTGGAGGTGGGACCTGGTAGGAGGTTACTGGATCATGGGGGTGGATCCTTCATGAATGGTTTAGCACCATCCCTTTGGTGCTGTTCTAGTGGTAGGAGTTCTCACGAGATCTGATCATTTAAAAGTGTGTGACACCTCCCCACTCTCTTCCTTAGTCCTGCTCTGACCATGTAAGACATGTCTGCTTTCCCCTCCTCGCCCACCATGACTGTAAGTTTCCTGAGGCCTCCCTGGACACAGAAGCCACTATGCTTCCTGTACAATCTGCAGAACTGTGAGGCAATTAAACCTCTTTTCTTTATGAATTAAAACAAGGAAACTTTATATACAATTGCTTTGAGGAAGGGCAGAAGACTTGGCATAAACTGCTTAAGGAATCCCTTTTTTCCTCATCAGAGAATCTCTCGGGACTGCTGTTTTATGGAACACTTTATAAAATGCAACAGAGAGGATCACCTTGGTTTTTTTTCACTCAATGATATAACAGATTTCTATATAACAAAAATTTTAAATTAGAGTCTCTTTAGAGTTTTTTTTTTTTTTATTTCTCTACAAGAGATCTCTCTCCCTCTCCCTTTCTCTCATATGTTGGAATACAATTTAATTTTTAAATTTACATACACTAAAAGTTACTCTTTTCGGTTTACAATTCAATGAGTTTCAACAAAAGCTCAGAGTCAGGTCAAAACCACAGCAATCAGTTGCATAATACCCCCCAAAACTCCTTCATGTAGGAGGAAGGACCAAGCCCTCCTACCACCCCAATTCCTGGCAACCCCTGGTCTCCCCATCACTATGGCTTTGCCTTTCCCAGAAGTCACAGAAAGTAAACAGTATTTAGCCATTTGAGTTGACTTCTTCCATTTAGAATAATTCATAGGGGAACCATCAACATGTTGCATGCAACAGTTCAGTCTTTATTACTGCTGAGTAGTAACTATTGAATGGATGTACCATAGTTTGTTTATCCTTTTACCAGTTGAAGGACATCAGGTTGTTTCCAGGTTTTAGAAAATAGGAAAAAAGCTGCTACATCAATAAAAATTACATAATATTAGATAGCTGAATATCATTCCATATCTTGATATACCATTCAATTGGATAAATCCTTACTGTTGTATATTAGATCATTTCCAATGTTGTACTATTTTAAATAACACTGTAACTTCATTTAAGTGTCTGTATGTATTTGTTCCATTATTCTTTAGGACAAGTTCTTAGAAAAATTCCTGGGTCAAGAGGTATGCATCACACATTTTACTACTTTTGATACATACTGCATTTAAATGTCCCTTAATGACAATCTCCCTTTACTCACAGGCCCTCATCAACCTTGACTGTTATTCTTTTTTTTTTAAAACCAATCTCACAGGCAAAAATTTAAACATGGTATCTCACTTTTATTTGTATTTATTTTTTCCCTTCATATCTCTATACATACATGTGGAATTGTTTCCTTGTATTTATTGGGCATTTTTATTTCTTCTTTTAGGAATTACCTGTTCTTGTCCATTGTCATACTGGACTTTTGTTTATTGATTCACTGTATTAATCCTTTGTCTATCACCTATTACGTTTATGGTTTTCAAGATGACTTTCAATTTTTTTATAGGCAGAGATTTCTTTAAAAATGTATGTAGTCATCTCTTCTAATCTTTTCTTTTGTGGATTACACATTTAATATCATGCCTAGAAAGGGCTTTTTCTATTTTACATTTATATACATAGTCACTCATATTTCCTAATTTTTCCAAATGGTTTTGGAAACAGCATGAAGAATACAGGAGGCTTCCTGGCCGAGGCACACAGTTCCCTGATACATTGGATTTGTTTCTGCCTTCATGGCTTTGAGCTGCTGTGCTGTCATTAAATACTTAAGATTCTTCTTTTCTAAGGAGTTCATTTGCCTTTTGAAGAAGGTGAATTCTTTATTGAACTAGGTTGACATTTTATCTTATAACTTGATTTAGAAATAAGGCTTTATTCTCAGGTTTCAGTGGTTAGCTAAGGAATTATAGTAAATCATTTCATTTCTCTTTCTGTTTATTCCACCATTGGGACAGACTAACAATAACTTAGAGGCTTAAAATAAAAATAAAGTGCAAGCATATGCCAATATTTTCCTAAATGTCATAACAATGATCTTGCTGGCAGAAATTTGCATTTATATTTTCCCAAGGGGCCAAAGAAACAATTTTTTATTCTATTTTATTTTTTATTTTTATTTTCTTTGGAGACAGAGTCTCTCTCTATTCCCCAGGCAGGAGTGCAGTGGCGCGATCTCGGCTCACTGCAACCTCTGCCTCCTGGGTTCAAGCAATTCTCATGCCTCATCCTCCGAGTAGCTGGGACTACAGGCACCTGCTACCATGCCTGGCTAATTTTTGCATTTTTAGTAGAGACAGGGTTTTACCATGTTGGTCAGGCTGGTCTCAAACTCCTGACCTCAGGTGATCCACCTGTCTTGGCCTCCCAAAGTGTTGGGATTACAGGCGTGAGCCACTGTGCCTGGCTGAAACAATTTTTTAAAACAATGATGTAAACATCCTTCCTTGGCCTTTCAGCTAAAATAGAGTATATTACCTATTCTTATCATTTAATTAAAAAGTGATGCAAATAAATGGGAAGTTCAGATTCGTTTTACAAAAGGTGACTTCACAAATTTTGAAGACAGTGCTTTTTGCATTAAGAGAGGCATATAATTACAAGGTATGGAAAAACTTCACCCTTCAATGAAAGTACCTGTAACACACTATATAATCCCAAAGGCAAGCACCTAATAAAAGAAAGAAGCAAATGGAGCCTGGCTCCTATGGAAGATTTCATCAACCCCTTAGTCTTAAGTAGAAACTGGAACTCACCTAGAAACACAAATACAACATGCAGTAGTGTTGGCTCTCAAATCCATGCTGCCCCTAACTGTGGCCACTTCTTATTTATTTGGGAAAAGTGGATGAATTCTCAGTACCACCCAGACTTTAAGCCTTTATCGAGCTCCCAGCTGAGCATGCTAGGATTTAAATGGCACTTCTGGCTCCTCTGAGATAAACCGACCACTTCCCAATGGACCATCACTGAACCCAGAGTCCTAGCCCATTCGGCTGCCTGGCCATTAGCTACAGGGAGGTCCCCAATTCCCCTCCCAGTCAGGCTAATTGTCAGTTAATTGTAGGCTCCTCCAGGTCTGACCACACACCATGCTGAAGCAGCCTCTGAGGTGCCAGGCTGCAGAGTGTCAGGGGCCAGCTGGTTTCTCCACTGCAGCAGAAAGGCTGCGAGTGGCTTCTGGTCTGAGGCAGATGGACCCAGTGCCTGCTCCAGCCCTTTCGACTGTGGCTCTCTGCCATGCAGGGGCCTCTGACACCTCCACATCACTCTGGTGCCTGACCAACTTCTGTCTTTGTCCATCTCCTGTGGTCAGCACTCAGGGCTCATCCAGCTCCCATCCTAGACTTCCAGCCCTTCCAGCAGCTAATAGCTGATTCATCCCATACTTGTAAAAGAGATGAAAACGGTACCCCCACTTTCGTTTCTGTTTTTGTTTTTTTGGTTTTTTTTTGAGACAGAGTCTCACTCTGACTCCCAAAATGCTGGACCACTGTACCCAAAGGCTTGAGCCACTGCGTCCCACTGTAGGTTGTTGAACGGTGTTGGGAAAGAAGATTTAAAAAAGTAATTTGCGAACCGGGCTCGGTGGCTCACGCCTGTAATCCCAGCACTTTAGGAGTCGGAGGCGGGCGGATCACGAGGTTAGGAGTTCAAGACCAGCCTGACCAACATGGTGAAACCCCGTCTCTACTAAAAATACAAAAATTAGCCAGGCATGGTGGCGGGTGCCTGTAATTCCAGCTACTAGGGAGGCTGAGGCAGGAGAATCCCTTGAGCCCGGGAGGCAGAGGTTGCAGTGAGCCAAGATCGCACCACTGCACTCCAGCCTGGGTGACAGGGTGAGACTCTGTCTAAAAAAAAAAAAAAAAAAAGTAATTTGCTGTCTGAGTCTCCGCCCCCAAGACCCGCGGCCGCAAGCTCCGGAGTGCGGCTTCCCCGGCCGGCGAACTGCGCGATGGGCTGCGGGAACTCCCGGGCAGAGGCCCTGCAGGAGCAGCCAAAGATGTAACAGAAGAATCCATAACAGAAGATGACAAGAGGAGAAACTATGGAGGAGTATATGTTGGCCTACCATCTGAAGCTGTCAATATGGTGTCCAGTCAAACAAAGACGGTTCGGAAAAATTAGAAGAAAATAACATCATGACTCAAGAATCAGGAGCATGCTCATCAATTTGGAAGGAATTTGGCTCTGTGGGACATTGTACTGTGCACAGACATTTCCAAGGAAATTCTAAACAGTCACCCTTCCCTCTTGCATTTCCCCAAATCTTAAGCGTATACATAAAACCCTGGGTACATACTGTTGTGGTAATAGAAGGGAATTGGTTAAACAGTACACTTTATGGAACTTTCTGTGGCCACCTACGAAAGACAAGTTAACAAACTGTCATGGAGGCTGCTGTTGCCTAGCCAGGGCTGCTGCATTTTGACATTTCCACCGTGGCCACTCAACACATTTCATGGAGGTCATGTCTTTTCACTGATGCTTTTTGATAGTTTTTATATAACAAAATCCTTATTCTATTTATAACTTAAGATGATAAGGCACTATAAATGAATGACCTAAAATAATATATTTGTCTGTTATCTTTCGCTATTTCTACTTCACTTTAATTTTTAGCTGTAAAATTGGTAAATGGATTCTTACAACTATCTCTTTCTGTTTTTCACTATTTGGTTTTCAAATTTCATTTAAATGTCAGAATTTCCTTTTTAGGAACAATGTGTATTTCATTGCAATATTTAAAAATAAACTCAAATTTGCATGCCATATGCACACACACACACAAAAAGTAATTTGCCTACGTTTGTTGTTAGTAATACATACAAAAGTTCTTGCTGGAAATTGTGCTAAGGCCTAATTTTGATTCAACTAATACAGACGCATAAAATGCCTTCAATTTCCCTTTACATCATCCCAACAATGGGTATCTGAACTTCTCCTTTGGTGGTTAAATAATAATGATTTATTTTGTCTTTTAAAAAAATTAAAACCAAGAGGGAGTGAATGTTTTACCATGAGTACTTATTACTTTTGAAACTAGAAATAATTCTCTATTTTTACAAAAGGGTAAACATATTTCTCTCCAGGGTAAAGAGAAAACAATGGGCATAATAACATAGTGACTGATGCTCAGAAACATAACTAAATTATCATTTTATCTCAGTAACCCAACAGGGTGTAACAGGAAGTAAGGCTTGGTAGGGTGTAATTTGCATTGCAATCGGCTTTTTTCCCCATGTTAAGTAAGGCAGTTTGAAGTAAGTTTTTTTAAACAACATGAAAAAATACAACAAAAATGTTCTAGTCCAAGGCCAGAACACAGTTTTATATGATCTGCAGATAATTTAGTATTTGAGAAGCCTTTTCAACATTCTCTGACTCCAATGAAAACTAAAGCAAAACTTGGGAGGAAAAAAATAAATAAGCAAATAAAACAGTATCTGTATAATTATCCACAGATCAAACAATTTAGGGACAATAAAATAGAGCAACATTTCAGCTAGGTCAGGTGCAAAATAATGGAACAACTATTCACTGTTTATTCATATTTCACACATTCACTAACAACAAAAATTCTGGCTAGTTTTACTGTTAATATATTTGGGATGATTGCTTTATTAGTCAAAGGACTTAAAATCCATTTTGTGTAAGTTGAATAGCTAGGGCATCATAGATATAGGATAATCAGCCTTCTTGGTTTGCTCTAGCCCTCCTTCCTCCACAAACACACTATTAGGTCCACATTTTGAGCCTTTGAAAGAGTAGAAAAAATGCCATGCTGTAGATGCAGAGAGGATATCATGGGACTTTGTCTGCCCTGCTTCTGATGCCAGGAGGCACTTTATTGTAGAGAACTGAGCCTCCTGTGTGCCAATCCTGACCCTAACCTTTGCTGCCAATCAGAGCCACTGCTCGCACAGGTTGGCTCCAGACCTGGCTGGTTCCATCACAGTTCTCAGCACTCCTGAGATAGCATTTGATGCAGCCACAGACTTGTTATCCAGGTGCGGCCAATGTGAGATCTTCCCTAAAACTCTCCTCCCTGAAGGCCTTTAAGGAGTGAAACAGAAAAGAAAAAACAACAACAACAACAACAACAACAAAAATGAAGCCCAGAACTCGAATCTCAGGGAAGATGGCAGCCCCAGAGTATGAATCCACCATGCAGAGATGAGCTTGGGGAAGAGTGGTGAGGGAAGCTTCTGATGAAGGTCAAGGCCTGGGGGCCCACTCTCCCAATGCCAGCTGCATCTCTGACCTCCTTATACTATGGTTATAAACATCAATACATTTCCCTGTAAGCTTAAACTAGTTTGAGTTGGTGTCTGTTATTTTTATTCAAGGATTCCTGACTAATGCATCTGGTAACCACTTGATTTGGGGCATACTCAATTGTGGTGAACTTACTGGGCTCTTTCCAGTGTCTATTCTCAGGACACTGCCTTCACATCCTACAAGGGTGGTTCCCAGGTTGCATTTCTGCTCTGTGACCTGTCCCCCTGCCAAGGCTCACTGGTCCAAGGGTAGTGCTGGATGCAACCGAAGTCTCACCTCCATATGTTAGAGTTTTCATCTGAGGGAAGAGTTGTTGGGAGCTGGGATAAATGAATGGTGGCACTCCAAAGGGAAGGTGATGACACTCCTCAGAGCCACTCTGCTTCTGGTCCCTCCTGAGGCTTGCTTTTTTGACAGCTTCCTGAGCTCCACGAGCTACCCCAGTCCTTCCAAGACATTCTATCTTCCCTCCTTTCCCTCTTTCTCTCTCTCTTTTCCTTCAGCTGGATGCAATTGGTTTATTCCTCAAACCAAGAGAACATGAAATTATACACCAAAAAACTGTTCTTGTAAATTATCACTTCATGTAGAATGCCTTTCACCATGGGAAAATGTAAGACCTCAGGTAAAACTGGCTTCAGCAATAAGGAACCGTGCTTTACCTTGAGTGGTGAGCCCAGAGGTAGGGTGGCCCCAGGGGTGGTACAGTCACTCAGTGATGTCACTGGGATGTCACTGGGGCCCCCGTGTTTTATTTCCATGCTTTGGCACGGACAGTAATGATTTCCCTCAAAGGCTAATTCCCCAAACATTCCCAAATGGCTGCTGCTCACAAATGGGGCAGTGTCATTACTCACATCCAGCAAGAGATAGAGAAACTTCTCCTCCATGCATGGAATAGCATAATCAAATTTGGAAATAATTTCCTAGCAGTGGTGTAAGAACAGCTGTGAGGCATATTTAAGAGCCAGAACGGATTCAGCTTGGTGACTACCTGACTGATGGAGGTGTGGGAAGGGAGGAGCTAGGGTGTTGCCCATGTTTCTTGTTTGGGCATCTTGGTAGACAGGGACACCCTCCCTGGGGTGGGGCCAGATCTGGTTTGGTGAGGATGATGACACACCTGTGCAGGTTTAATGCCTCCCCATGCTTCACTTGGGCCTGCCCAGGAGACTAGCTGGAGCCTGTCATCAAAACCTTGACAGGGGCACCAAACCACATCTGACAAGAAGTGACTTCTTAAGAGGTGGGATAAGCAAATTATTTCTCTCCCTGAATTGCTCTCCTGCTTATGCAGAGAGAGCCGTTTCTTTTTTTTCTTTTTCTTTTTCCTTCTTTTTTTTTTTTTTTTTTTTTTTTGAGACAGAGTTTCACTCTTGTTGCCCAGGCTGGAGTGCAATGGTGTGATCTCACCTCACTGCAAACCCTACCTCCCAGGTTCAAGCAATTCTCCTGCCTCAACCTCCCAAGTAGCTGGGATTATAGGCATGTGCCACCATGTCTGGCTCATTTTTTGTAGTTTTAGTAGAGATGGGGTTTCTCCATGTTGGTCAGGCTGGTCTTGAACTCCCGACCTCAGGTGATCCACCTGCCTTGGCCTCCCGAAGTGCTGAGATTACAGGCATGGGCCACCGCGCCCAGCCTAGACAGAGCCATTTCTATGAAGTAGGCAGCCACCTGAATGATGTACTTAAATGCCCTAAGCATCAAAGCTGTGTGCAATCAGAGTGGTTCATATGGACGCGGGGTGCCTAAAGATTATCTCTCTATACCTTCCAACCCAGTTTTGTTCAGGGGCACGCCCATATCTAGCATGAAAGACAGATCATTAGTCCAATCAATGACTCTCAACCCCGGTGGCACATTAAAATCAACCAGGGAGTTTAAAAAAACACCAAAGCCCAGGACCCACCTCCATATACCTATTAATATGTCTACACGCACACATAACATAAAATTCACCACCTTAACCATTTTAAAGTATCCAGTGGTATTAACAGGATTTATGTTGTTGTGTAACCATCATCATCATCCAATTTCAAAATGCCTTTCATCTTACTAAACTGAAACTCTCTACACAATAAATAATAACTCCCCATTCCTCCCTGTCTCCCCAACAGCCGCTGGCAACCACCACTCTACTTTTGGTCTCTATGAATTTGATTACTCTAGGTACCTGATGTAAGTGGAATCATATAAGATTTCCTTTTCCGACTGGCTTATCTCACTTAACATAATGTCTTCGAGGCTCATCCATGTTGTAGCAGGTGTCAGAATCCCCCTCCCTTTTAAGACTGAATAATACTCCGTCATATGTGGACAGGCACACCTCATTTTACTGTGCTTCCCTTGACTGCACTTTGCAGATACTGCGTTTTCTAGACATGGAAGTTTTGTGGTAATACTGTATCCAGCAAGTCTACCAGTGCCACTTTTCCAACGGCCTGAGCTCATTTTGCATCTCTGTGTTCTCTCGCTTTCCTCTGGCCTCCCTATGCTCTGAGACACAACAACATGAAATTAGGCCAATTAATAACCCTAATAACCTCTCAGTGTTCAAATGGAAGAAGAGTCACATGTCTCTCACTTTATTTATTATTTATTTATTTATTTATTTTAGAGACTGGATCTCATTCTGTCACCCAGGCTGGAGTGCAGTCGTACAAGCATAGCTCACTACAGCCTCCAACTCCTGGGCTCAAGCAAACCTCTCTCCTCAGACTCTCAAAGCACTGGGATTCCAGGTGAGCCACTGCACCTGGCTGTCATCTCTTACTTTAAATCAAAAGCTAGAAATGATTCAGCTTAGTGAGGAAGGCATTTCAAAAACTGAGATAGGCCAAAAGCTAAGCCTCTTGTGCCAAACAGCCATATTGAGAATGGAATGGAAAAGTTCTTGAAGGCAATTAAAAGTGCTACTCCAATGAATACATGAATGATAAGAAAATTAAACAGCCTTATTACAGAGAAAGTTTGAGTGGCCTGGTTAGAAGATCAAACCAGTCACAACATTCCCTCAAGCCAAACTCTAATCCAGAGCAAAACCCTAACTCTCTTTAGCTCTAGGATGACTGAGAGGTGAGGAAGCTGCAGAAAAAAAGCTTGACACTAGCGGAATTTGGTTCATGAGGTTTGAGGAAAGAAGCCGTGTTTAAAACGTAAATGTGCAAGGTGAAGCAGCAAGTTCTGATAGAGAAGCTATAGCTAGTTATCCAGAAGACCTAGGTAAGGTCATTGATGAAGGTGGCTATGTTACACAACAGCTTTTCAGTGTAGATAAAACAGCATCACATTGGAAGAAGATGCCATCTAGGACTTGCACAGCTAGAGAGAAGTCAATGTCTGGCTTCAACACTTCAAAGGACAGGCTAATGCTCTTGTTAGGGGTTAATGCAGCTGGTGACTTTAAGGTGAAACGAATGGCCATTTACCATTCTGAAAATTCTAGGGTCCTTAAGAATTATGCTAAATCTACTCTGCCTGTGCTCTAGAAATGAAATAACAAAGTCTGGGTGACAGCACATCTGTTCGCAGCACAATTTACTGAATATTTTAAGCCCATTGTTTTGACCTACTGCTCAGAGCAAAAGATTCCTTTCAAAATATTATTGCTAATGGACAATCCACCTGGTCACCCAAGATGGCAATGTACAGGATGTACAAGATTCATGTTGTTTTCATGCCTGCTAAACACAACATCCACTCCACAGCCCAGGGATCAAGGAGTCATTGCTACTTTCAATTCTTACTTTTTAAGAAACACATTTTGTAAGGCTGTAGCTACCATAGATTGTGATTCCTCTGATAGATCTGGACAAAGTAAATTGAAAACCTTCTGGAAAGGATTCACCATTCTAGATGCCATTAAGAACATTTGTGATTCATGTTCATAGGAGGAGGTCAAGCTATCAACATTAACAGGAGTTTGGGAGATATTGATTCCAACACTTATGGATAACGTTGAGGGGGTTATGACTTCAGCAGAGGAAGTAACTGCAGATATGATTAAAATAGCAAGAGGCCGGGCACACTGGCTCATGCCTGTAATCACAGCACTTTGGGAGACCAAGGTAGATGGATCAGTTTATGTCAGGAGTTCAAGACCCGCCTGGCCAACATGGTGAAACCCTGCTTCTACTAAAAATACAAAAATTAGCTGGGTATGGCAGTGCATGCCTGTAGTCCCAGCTACTTGGGAGGCTGAGGCAAGACAATGGCGTGAATCTGGGAGGTGGAGGTTGCAGTGAGTAGAGATCATGTCATTGCACTCCAGCCTGGGTGACAGAGTGAGACTCTGTCTCAAAAAAATAAAAAAATAAAAAATAAAAAAAAATAGCAAGAGAACTAGAATTAGATGTGGAGCCTTAAGATGTGACTGAAGTGCTGCAATCTCATGATAAAACTTGAATGGATGAAGAGTTGCTTTTTATGGAAAAACAAAGAAAGTAATCTTTTCAGATGGACTCTACTTCAGGTGAAGATGCTGTGAACATTGTTAAAATGACAAGAAAGGACAGAATATTACATAAACGTAGTGGATACAGCAATTGCAGGGTTTGAGAGGATTGACTCTAATTTTGAAAGTTTACTCCGGTTAAAAGGCTATCAAATATCATCACATGGTCTGGCGTATGTAAAGGGGAGAAAAATAAACAAAAAACAGCATTGGCGTTCTACAGAGAAATCTTTCCTAAAAGGAAGAGTCCATTGATGCGACAAACTTCATTGTTGTCTATTTTAAGAAACAGGGCACGGTGGTTCACGCCTGTAATCCCAGCACTTTGGGAGGCTGTGGTGGTATGATTGCTTGAGCCCAGGAATTTGAGACAAG